ATCAAATTGGCAAGAGGCCCATTTTAAATAACATCCGATTACTGTCAGGGTTTGACAATTAGCCTGGGTAAACAAGGCTGTTCACTAAAGTTGATTGTACAGGAAAACTGACAGAAGTACAAGTTTATAGAGCTGCTAAACATATCAGTTCTGTGTGTGATCAGTTCACAGAGTGCTTGTCAAGTGGTAGGTGGAGCCTAATGCCGAAGAGGCGGGGTTCAGAGGTGTGAAGAGCGGGTTCAAGGCAGACGCCAGGAAGTATTTCTTCAGCCAGAGGGGTAATCAACATCTGGGACTTGTAACCAGACAGATCAGCCCTCGCTCTTCCTCTCCCCCACCCCCCACCCCACTACACACACACATACGCCCCAAATTGACCCGGCTTAATAAATCTGACTGATCACATTTCCAATGGCATTACCATGGCCTCCGGTAATGTTCTGCACTGTTTTTTTCTAGGTTTCAGCTCGTACCGAGCGACAGTATTCATCATATCACACGTCACATTTTCAAGCAAACAAAATCTTCTAAGGAATGAGGAGCATTTTTTAGTTAAAAGACGATGTTTTTCGGTAGTGTAGGTTTTAATCAGCAGCTATGGTTTGCTACAGCTATATATAGTGCAGAAACACAAAGGTACTGTGCCGGAATAGGGGACAGAGTTGATTAAACCTCAAGGCGATGAGCAGTAACAGTACTTTTAATGAATTTGAAGTTTCTGAGTTCTGCTACCCGGCTCGCTCGCTCGTCACTGCTGTCCTGCAAACCCTCAGTGGATGCGATGCTGACGCGTGGCATAGTCTCTGCTGCTGCAGTTACGCTTTCGAAATGTTAAATTAACTTTTGCGGGAGCGAATGATGCCTCCCATCCCCCTTCCCCTCCCCCCCAACCCAGCCACCACCTCATCTGACTCCTTCATAACAAGCTAACTAACGTTTACTGCTGACAATGAGGAAGCAATGGCTTGTTTGTTTAGCTGATTAGGACGGCGGTAACTCTGAATTCTTCAGTCGCTTTTCCTAAAGCCCCCGTCAGGAATCCTCTCTGCTCTCTTAACTGTGTCAGTCTGGCCAGGTGGCTCTTCTGCCTCTGAGTCAGACTCGAGATCACAGGCTAGGCTGATGCTCCAGTGATATCCTGGGGAGCAATGCATTGTCGGAGATGCCGTCTTTCGAGTGAGACGTTAAGCCCAGATCCAATCCGCCGCCCCTTTTAAGGGCAGACATTAAAGATCCCATGACACAATTGGCGACGAGAGGGACGTTTTATCCTGGTGACTTGGCAACGACCCTCCAGATAATTTGCTCGTTCACCTGGTGAACAGGATCCAGGCTGTGCACTAAGTGACTGGCGTGTTTGCTTGCCTACACTTTACAGTCACTACACGTGCTCGTAAAGTGTCTTGAGATGGTTAGTGGTATATGCTTAAATGTTCTGCAGTTCTCAGCAATCCTTACAAATTAGATCGATTTCTGTTAGGAAATAATATCTGGGGGATACAGTATACAGTTTGGAGCACGACATGCGCTGGCGATGACCAGGCTGGTGGAAGGCGAACTGGATGGATGGACCTTGGTCTCCTATTGCCAGCAAATTCTTGCGTTCTTAGGGTGAAATATTATCTTTGATCAGTCGAAGAGTAAGTAAGCCTTCGCCGTGCAGAGAGGGTTAAAAAGAAAGGCTCTCGGGCAGCACAGTGCCGTAGTGTAGCAGATGTCTGTAATATATCGCCGCGGCCTGGGTAACTGCAGCAGCTGCTCGTCTGCAGGCCATCTACATTAGCACTCGGGGCAGCGATAAACACAATAATAGCCCAGCGCTCGCAAGTGCCAGTCTCTGTGTGTACGGAAAGGTTAAACAAAAATTAACCCAAAGGAAGAAAAGAAAAATAAGTGTGTGTGGGGGGAGGGGGGGTGGGGGTGGGGGTGCAAAAATGAACGTGGCAGCAAGTCTCGGACTGGCAGGGATTTTATTTGCCGACGTGTGTCGGTTGGGGCACCTTCTTTCTCAGGTGCCACGGGAGGCACTGATGGAAGTGACGCTTCTGTGGTTAATTGCAGTTTGTGGTAACATTGGTAGTGGGGGAATGAGAAGAGTGAAGGTACTTGTGCCTTAGGGGAGGGTCATGAATTAATAATTGCCAGACTCCGGATGAGCCCTGTCATAGGAGCAGAAATGAGGAAGTTGCCTTGCAGAGGGCTATCAATCACTCACTGACCATAACTTCCAGTAATTAGTGTATTTTATGGTCACTTGCTTCAGTGGCTTGGAAGCACATATGTTCCAGTCGTGGCTAAAGTTTGCTGAAGTAATATTCGGGAGTGATTTATCTGCATGCCGCACTGGGATATAACCCTATACTGGTCGGGGCTTAGAGCTTAGCTGCTCGCGAACAGCAGTAAGTGTTCGTTTAGATACATACAATTTACAAAGGTTGGGACCCCCATTCTGCTGCACTCTGCTGCAATCTCAGCTTATACAGACAGCCAACAGGGGACGTGGGTTGCTCTCTCTCTCTCTCTCTCTCTCTCCCCCTTTTCCATCCACCAGCCCCCTTCCCCCCACCACCCCACCACCACGCCAACAAAGTGTGAATGCTTGCTATATTTTTTAACAAAAAAACGATATTTGCTGCAATATCTGTGAGCTTGTGGAAGGGAGCGCAGTGCCTTTCTCTGCAGAGAGGTCGCTTTAGTGGTGAAAGCAGACTGATTGCACAAAGGCTGTCTCTGAGGTGATTAAGGGTACATTTCTACCTGCCGGGGATGTGGGTATTAGTGACCCCCCCCCCACCTTCCCTCCCCCGCTCTTTCCTCCCCCCCCCCCCCCACCCTCCTCGCTCCTCGCTTCTAGACATGAAGCAAATGTGTCACTTCATCATTTTGTGCTGATTTCACAGGGGGGGCGAAGATTCCACAGGTTACCCGCTAATGGCTGTTATACATTAAAAATTGAAGCCGTCAAACTCAACGGCCTTTCAAGGCTTTGCTCTTAAGCCCTCGGACAGAGCGTTTCGGAGTGCAGCTGTGAAGTGGCTGCTGGAGATTAAATTAATGTGTAATGCCTCTTGTCCTCTCCTGTAAATCCTGTCCGTTTAATAGAAGCGCCACTTGCAGCCAACACTGTACTTTTCAGCCCCGGTGCCATGACCTTTCTCTTGTCTTGTCACGTTAACCTCTATGGCATCTTGTTTCCATTTCAGAGAAAGGAAGGCTTTGAAATCCATTTGGATTTTACCGCTCTGTTGGAATACAGGAGAATTGATTTGGGATTAGTAATAAATCAGATCCCGGCGCTTGGAAGTATTAAATATGATGTGTGGGTTTTGACAGAGCCCTCTGAATGGTCAGTTTAAATACTACACTAAGCCTCGGTGTGGTCAGACCCAGCCATTGTGCACACTTAAACCCCTCAAACATGGCTGGACGGTTTACATTCAGAAGGCGGTGTGTAGCTTTGCTATTGTTCTGCCAAAAACAGTCACTATACTGCACAGTAATGTTCAGCGCTGAAGGACGCTGTATAAATGCACGTCGAGATGATGCCTCAAAGCACAGGATTTAAAGTGTAGTGACTGTGTGTCGTAGGAGTAATTTGTAAAAGGCTCAGGTACACACAATGTAATCCATCTGCTGTCGTGTGAGCCTGGCTCAGTTGGCAGCGCTCTCGCCTCTGGGTCAAAAGGTTGTGGGTTCAAGCCCCACGTTGGGACTTGAGATCACAGTCTAGGCTGACATGACACTCCAGCCCTCCACTGCATTGTGGAAGGTGCTGTCCTTTAGTTGAGAAATTAAACCTAGTTCCAACCATTCTTCAAGAGGCTTGAAAGATCCCGTGACATTATTCAAAAATAGAGTCGGTAGATTCACCTCACGGCTATTGTCGGCAAAAACACTCACTACACTTGACAGGAATTAAAGCAATTTTGCTGTGATAAGGTTATAAAATCCAGGTTTGTTCTTCCTTGTACACAAAACCAGCCAGTCTTTCCTTCTGTGTGACAGCTCTGTGCAGTCTGTGTTCACTACAGAGACTGTTTGACCAAGTGGTTGTCAACGACAGTATATTATTGGACATTTTTTGGTGTTCCCACACACAAACTGCTGTCAAGAGCATAAAATTACCAGAAAAGGGTTGTCTGTATCTTCTGATTATAATATTCGCCCAGTAATTTATTGGTTTGACTTCCCCAGGACTGTTCAATAGTAATGACCAAACGTGCTCATTAGCGGCTAAATTGTTTAATCTTAACATGGGGTAGTCAGCCGTGGCATGCCCACTCGCTCATTCTTATTGCTTATATACAGTAATGATCTTAAAGCATTCAGCAACAATGTGTTTTATTTTCCGGAGGTGATCTACATTATCCCAATAATGCACTCCAGTTATTGCCGTAGCAGCCCAGGAAATGGTGTGTGGCGTCGGGAGCTTAATGAGAACCTCTAGCAACCCCTCTGCCTACTTATATTGAAACCGATAAAAACTCGCACTCTTGCTCGTGTAAGACGGCAGAAAAATGTATTCATGTGTCTGAAAGCTGTGATTTGGACTCACAAGCGGAACGGTGGTTGATAATTTTCATCAGCCCTGCATCCTTCTGGAGATAGAGGCTCCTTCAACCCCTGGTGATACCAAAACAGGGAGAATTAAGAAGGACATTAGAGCTTCATTAAATCTGAAATACATTTGGTACAGTGAAATATCTGCAGGCTATTCCTTGGAAGATTACACCCTATTCTGTGTCTCTTTCTCTCTCTTTAAATAGCTCAGTGTCGGAATCTATGATTTAAAAAAAAATCCATTATTGGACCTGTGTTTAAACGACCCTTTTTTTAAAAACATTTTTTTGTTCGAAGTAATGAATTTTAGAAGTTTAAAAAATATGTGGGTGGTGTTTGTTTGACAGGGTTGTGTTGACTGAATCCTCGCTCTTGTCTCACGTTGAGCCTGTGCCTCACATGCAAATCCATAACTAGACAAATATTATTTCCTTTTACAGCTTGCACTTGGGAGATTTCCATATCCTCAGGTAAGATTGTTCATTACTGGCTTTTGCCACCATGACATTCATCCCTATGTATGAAGGTGCCAGGGAGCAGTTTGTGCCACGTTACAACTAAATCGTAGCTGTTACGTTGAAATATGTTATATTTCTAGTGCTTTGGAAGTACTTTTTCTTTTTTCTTTCTCTTTCCCTCATTCTCTCTCTCTCTCTCGCTCATTCATTTTCTCTCCTGCTCCTTCATTCCTTCGCTTCCCCTCTTTCTCTCTTTTTCTGTCTCTCTCTCTCCATATATATATATATCTTTCTTTCTTGCTCTCGTTCTCTCTTTCTCGTATTCTTTCTCTCGTTCTCTCTTGCCTTCTGACTCTTTCTCTTGTTCTCATCCTCTCACCTCTTTCTCGTGCTTTCTCATCCCAGCTTCTTTCTTTTTTTCTCTCATATCTCTTTTCTTTTCCTCTCGCCCTTGTTCTCAATCTTTAATTCTGTCTCATCATTCACTCTCTCGGTCTCATTCATTCTCGCTCACTCTCTCGCCCCAAACATGGGCCGAATAGACTGAACAGCCTCGGGCTCAACTGATTCAAAAGTGCTCCTAGCCTGGACTCTTTGAGCATCCATTAACTTATTATTATGCAAATAAGATTTGTATTACACACACAAATGTATGCATGGTTAGATTATGCATATGTGTGGTAAACCTGGTTATTGAATAATCAGATGGGATTTGCTCCTTCTCACTGATATTTTTATACTCATCCGTCCTCAATTCCTTTTAAACTCAGCCGTTGCCAAGCAGTGCTGTGTGTTGTGTTTGTGTGTTTGGTTGTAGGATTCTTTCTCCCCCCCCCCCCCCCTCCTCTCTCTCACACACACACCCCACACACACACACTGTTCCATGCATATAGCGTAGAAGCTGTCTCTCAGTGAGTGTGTGTTAAGCAAGACAACTACTGAATATTACACATTTGATTTGCAGGATTTTCGAATGCATTTAAAAAATTGAGTTCTTTCCCCCACACTGACACACACACATACACACACAACTCTACCCTATTTACCCCTTGCAAAATAGTGATGGGGGTGGAGGGAACGGGGAGAGGAAAGGTAAAACAACTGACATCTCCAAACTGTGAAACCAGTCCGGGCTAATAAATTACATTGAAATGACCCAAAGTAAAAAATAACTTCTGTGCAAATAGTGCCGCTGGTATTGTAAAGCTTTGAATGTTTTCACACCCCATTAATTTATTACTTCTCTCTTCATCTTTAAATTTCATTTTTTTTTAAATTCAGACTCCCCGCTGCAGTAGTGATTTTCATCTTGTTGTTAATTTTCCCTGCTCCATATGGAGTTCCAGACATTTCACCTGGAGGCTGTACTAGATTTTGCTGTAGTGATTGCACTTCCGGAGGCCAGAGCTGTCATTTAAGGTTTCTGGTGCATCTGTCTGCACCAGGCGCTCTCTCTCTCTCTCTCTCTTGCTCTCTCTCTCTCTCTCTTTTCTGCGTTGGCACCGAGTGTGTGAATAACAAATTGGATGCACCTGAGATTTGGATGATTAGTGTGTTTGTGTATCAGTGCTATGTATGTACTCCTTGTAAGCAGATTGCTTTGGGGGGGCCCACATCATCACCATAGGTGGAACTGTACTCAAACCTTACATTTTGGCTGGCGAGACCCATCCCTCTCACATTAAGAGGCTGTGAATATTTCATCCTGCCTTGTCATTGATTAGAAAAGAGACTTTAATTTCATTTCACCCCATGTTGTGATTAATTTGCATTCTTTGTCAGAAGTTAATGAAGTTTTTTACGGTTCACACTGAAAAATCCTTGAAGACATCTTATTTGGTCTTCTGTTTATACAAGCGCTAACAGATGCTGCTTTGATTGATAGCCAGCGTTCAATCTCAAGTTATTTTAAGCAACTACTCCCGCTTTGAATACAATGAAAGACAAAATTGTTTTTTTTTATTTTCTTTCTCTCCCTCTGTCTCTCTCTCTCTCTCTCTCTCCCCCTTTCGAAAAAGAGAGGTGGGAGGCGGACAGTGGGGGGTTGGAAGAAAATAAAAGATTAACGTGAATTTATGTTGGCGATGTGATATTTGCCTCTGGGAGATTATTCCCAACGCTTCTGTCTTTTTTTAAAAAATGTGAGAGAAAAAATCTTTGCCGTTTGTTGTTTTAATTTTTTATTCAATATCGGATTCAATGAAAAGTAAAAGTTCGCTGAATAGGTGTCAAATACTAATTGGAGTCAATCCAGGCCTCCCCCTCCAGCGGTGCGCTCCATATTTTCTCTGCATATAATCCATATTATTGACACCGCTTGCCCTGAACATTCGCGCTCAGAACACGGGCATCTCATCAAGGAATTTAAATGCTGTTTGACTTGGAAGATGCGCTTCTAAATTAATAATAATATAAAAAAAATGCTCTGGAAATTAGGAGTGTCGAGAATTATTAAACAAAGGCTTATTTAAACATTTGCTCTGGGAGGAATTTTTGCTTAGGATTTTAGATTCAATTAGAATCTTTCTCTCTCCTTCCTCACTCCTCTTCCTCCCTCCCCGCATCCCCCCTCAACACCACTGCTGCCACCCTCCCAACTTCAGTTTATTTTGATGTGATGTTATTTAAACACTGAATTGCTACCATCAATGTATCGCAAACCCAGCAGATTCTTTCTTAATCAAACGCACCACAAGCTTTCCTGGCATTGACGTGTATGCTCCTGTTGTAATGGATTGAAGCCGCAATATCCTATAAATAATAATGATAATAATCCTTGCGTTTGATATAGTGCCTTATCATGTCTTCAGATGCCACAAAGCGCTTCACAGAATATACTGTAATGTGGATTGACTGTATATTTCGGTGGGCGAAACGCAGCAGCAGATTGCACACAGCTTTTCCCGTGAATTACAAGCTGGGAATTACAAGTGTGCAAAATCTCTCCAATTTATTTTAATTCAAAATGTTTATCTCCGCTCTGTGGCAAATCAAAGGTGCTGGTTTATACTGGAGTCTGTTACTTTTACACTCAAATACTGCAAGTCCCCTTTATAAGGCAGGTCCGAAGAGCAACCAAATAAAGCTCACTTAAAAGCCGTAATTCGGAATTCTCTGAGTGTCTCTGCAGATCAAGGCTGTATTCCCTAGTTACGAGTAAAATAAAACACGCAAGGGAGTTTGAGATTAAAATCTAATCTTGGGTTGAGTGAGTTAAAAGACATCTAACTTTGCTCTCCCGGTGCACAAAAGTGATCCAAACCTGTGATTTGATTAGTTTCTCTATTGATCGCTGGATATCTCTGGCTCTCCCTATTAAAAGGGTGAATGTGTTTGAGGATTAAAGTAGCGTATACACCAGCCAGTCTCAATACGTTTACTTACTTGCTGTCAGACTCTATTTAAACCCCAGAGCAGCCCCTGAAACATGGCAGTTCAGAGGCCTGAAATTCCACCAGATCTTAGCCTATAGCACCATTCGTCTGAAAATGTTAGCAATAATAATAATAATCCTCGTATTTGCTACAGCGCCGTATCAGGTCTTCAAGTCATCTCAAAGCGCTTCACAGGATATAATGTAAAGTGAATTGACCATGTATTTTGCGGGTGAAACGCGGCAGCCAATTGTGCACAGCAGTGTCCCCACAAACAGCCGTGGACTGAGTGACCAAATTATTATTCCCCCGAACCATTTGCAGAATTATGGGGAAAAAAAAACTTAACTTTTTGTCTCAAATGTGAGCAAAATCTCTGCCCTTACAGTCAACTCAGAAGCACATCGCATTCTCATTTGACGATTTCAAAAATTATTTGATCTCCCAAAATTAAAGCAAATGACTTTGTGGATACAGTATGTTTGTGAATTCCCAGGGGCGCTTTTTGTTTTAGTGCCCAGCACGCATGACAAAACCATTTCAATTTGTGTGATATCCAATAGAACGTAAACCAGCAAAATAATTTGATTAATTAATGGAACTGCGCTCAGTGAAACAGTGTGTGGGGCTACCTCAGAAGCTAATAATAATAATTGGCCAGGACAGTGGGAGAGAGAATCTCCCTTCTCTTTTCAAATAGTGCCAATAGTAGGCATCTTTGATCCAATTTCTTTCCTACATATTTCAAACTCAAAAGTAATAAAGCTTTCAGCACACAATGGCTTGCACCCAGCAAGAGAAGTGTTTAGTCGTCACCCGCAAGATTCCTCTCAGTAAAAAGCTTTCTTGTTTTTAAAGAAAAAGTCTTAATAATAATAATAATAATAATATTCCTTGCATTTAATATAGCGCCTTATCATGTCGTTGAGATGTCTCAAAGTGCTTCACAGAATACACTGCAAAGTGAATTGACTCTGTATTTTGTGGATGTAACGTGGCAGCTGATTGCGCAGGTCTACACATACTTTTGTCCCAATACAGCGTAACTGGGGGGATTCCCTGCGCCCCCATCTGTTGTAGTGTAGCGAGCAGCCAGTGTGAGTGTGTTGAGTGCTGTTCTGCCATATGCCAGCGTTATTGCAGTAATGCTTTGACCATTTAACAGCACAAGTGCATTTTTGCTCACACATGGATATGACCTAATCCTGTTCCTGTTTCTGTGCAAATCCATTTGGTCAGAGTATCAAAGGTTCTGGGGCCTTCAGTTTTGCCCAGGGTACTATCTCCCCCCAACTTCCTATTACTTGTGATGTAGAAATTGGTGTGGATTGTCATTTTATATATATTTTTTCAACATGCCGTTTCGTATTAACCCTAGACTTGATTGACTCAGTTTATTATTCAGGGGGTCTTTGGCTCTTTCACTCAATGTGATACGGCGCTATATCAAATGCAAGGATCATTATTATTATAATATTTTCTTGTGTGCCTCGAGTGGGAAGAGTTAAGCAGCCTGGCTTTATACTTTCCCATCCTGTAGTATAAAACCTTGTGCACGTAAACCCAATGAATAGCTTCGTCATCCAAATAATCCGAGCAGTAGAGTAAGCGAACAACTAGACAATGGCCCACAAAGCAGCGAGAGCTCATGATGTGCTAAAAATTTAGAGATAAAAATTTGTCAACTGATGGAGGTAGATGTGACCTGGGTCACTGGTAAATCTCTCAGAAAAGAGCTGTAAGGCAAGTCATAATTCCTGAGTGGAAAGTGAGAGATGTAAGCTATAGCTGGGTTCCTTTATATTGCAGGTAGTTGAACTCATTTTGCTTGTCTGATTGTGCATTTGATAATGCTGCGGGGACGAACAGACAGACAGCGACATCGGGGGGTGGAGCGACGTAGAAAAAAAGCAAATGAGATTCCGCGGTTTGTATATAGTGAAGTGCAAAAAAAAAGCAAGAGTGAAATCTGTAGTTATAATAATAATCCTTGCATTTGGTACAGCGCCTTAGCACGTCTTCGAGACGTCTCAAAGCGCTTCACAGAATACACTGTAAAGTGGATTGACTGTGTATTTTGTGAACCAAATGCGGCAGCCAATTGCACACAGCAGTGTCCCACAAATGGTCATGGATTGAGTGACCAAACAATTATTATTTCATTTATTTATTCATTTGTTTTTTGAAGGGATGATTACCCCTCGGAATAGCAATCCGATCAACAGTCGGGTTCCTACTTACTGCTAGATAAACAGAGGTGTGTGGGGTAAGGAAACTTGCCTAAGGTTTTGTCCTGCCCGGGAATCGAACCCAGGTCCTCTCGCTTGCGAGGCGAGTGCTCTCACCACTAAGCTACAGGACTCCACAATTGGAGTTGGAGCACTGAGTGTGCAGGTCTGAGTGTTCCCCATTGCAGAAAGGACATGAGAGATGTTCAGAAGGTTACAGTGTGCATTTGTTCACACAAGTGATAGAAGGGATGAGGTGTTATAATCACTGGACAAGGACAGGCTGTAACAAATTCCAGTTTTCACTGGAACAGAGAGGGTTCAGAGAGGAATTAGTTGAGGTCTTCTAAACGTTAAAAGGTTTCCGCAGATACCTTGAAAAGGATTATTCCTGCCGGTAAATCGAGAACTGGAGTTAACATGATACGCTGAGGGTGGTTTGAAGTATCGGTGGTGTTTTTCCAGTTTTAGTTTTGCCTGTTTAGGTGGACATTAAAGATCCCATGACACTATTGGAAAAGAGAAGGGAGTTTCTCTCTCCTGGTGTCTTGGCCAACAATCCCCCAGATTAATTGGTCACTCACCTCACAGCTGTTTGTGGAACTTGCTGGCATATATGACTTTCGATTTTGCTTACAAATAACTGCCTACAACTGACAGTAATTGCATGTGAAACGCTGAGATGTTTCAGCCTGATAAGATGCTATATCAAATTTTTCATATTTTCCTCCCTGCACGTGATATCAGAAACCACCAGTCAGACGAGATTACAGCGGCTACTGAAATAATGTAGAAATGCACTCCCTGCACTCGAAATAAAATGTCAACTTTGTTTTTTGCAGACTGGCATGTCAATACATTTCTAACAAACTGCTGAGTGTGAGATATGTTTGATACTGTGCGATATTTGCTAATTCCGACTTCCCGAAAGCTGCCTTTAATTTGCCGGATAAGCAAAACGGCAAATTGTGGTATCAGAAACCGGCGAGAGATGGAAATAAAGGCCAGGGAGCGAAACCACTCCGTCTGTTTCACAAATCCCGTTTAGCCGTTTTGTGAGTCTCTCAAACTAAACCTGACTGCTTACCCTTTACACAGAACGGTATTTGTGTTCTGATAACCCTCTTTGCATTTAAACTGACAGGTGCTGAGACCCGGGGAAGTTCAGAATGAAGTGGTAGGTTTTCCTGATTACAGTCTTTGGCTCCAGCTCGACACCCATTCCTCTGTTGCCTCTCTCGGCCGCGTGTTCCCTCCACCTCTCGCCTCCGTCCTCCCGTGGCCGAATCCAGGGCCGTCCGGCAGTTCTCCGTCTCTGCTTCACATCTGTTTGTGACTGCAGCAGATTGTGCTCACTCAAGGGGAAGGTGTTTAACATGGACTAGGTCACAGAGCGAGCGAGGGAGGGGGAGGGAGTGGGGGAGGGAGGGAGAGATTTTACAACGTGGAATGAAAATGAAAAGTAGTCAAGGATGAATTAAATGTGCCCCCCTCCCCATTGATGGCCTGGTGGGTAAAGCCACACACTATCTGGTGCAATACAAAGCCATACAGACCAGAAGGTCACAGGTTCAGTTCCCACTTTGTTCTGTGTTGAACTTAGTATATGTGTACAGTCTTCCTGACTGTATATTTAAGTCTGTGTGAGTGTGTGTGTGTGATTGTCGAGTGCACCTCTGGAATAGAACTGATCTCCTGTGGGTCTGTCTGCCCCCCCCCCCCACCCCTCCCACACACACACACTCCTAATTAATTTGGGGGTACGTTTCTGGTCTTAGGGTGGAGAGGGCTTAAGGAGAAAGCAAAGACTTAATGGGAAATGCAGTCAGCATGGAGAGAAGGGTTATAGTTTAGAGCCAAAGATTTTTTTTTACAGTCACTTTGTGCCGTTTATATTGTCTTGCCGAGCTGGAGGTTTGTGTGTAATGGAAGCATTGGGCTGTAGGCTGGTAACAACCCTTTAGAATTGCACAGAAGGCCCCGCGCGGATCAATATTAACAAGTAAAACATCTTTAAATGAAATACGTAGCTTAACTTTAAATGTAACTCTCGATAAGTGTTGCAAAGTGTACGTGGCAAGCAGCACAAAGCCCTATTGAACTGGTTTAATTCTGTTTTTTTTCCAAGAATTGTTAATGAAAATTCAAAACCTAATTCAATCTTACGGGTAATTTATCCGAGGGTGTAAGAGCTGATAGATTATATATCCGACTTGCAAGTCTCTCCGGTACTTGTAAAGGAGGGAGAGAAAATAAGCAAGCCACGGTAGCTGTATTTAATTGATAGAATGAATCAATTACACTTGTGCTGTATTGTCAAATTCCATTGAAACACAGAGACTGTGCATTGTGATACTGCATAATGTAATAGAAAATAATTCCATCACTCATCTCACAATTTGTCAGACTTTCTAATTAATGCTATACTTCTGGGGTTGGGCTGGGATCAGGATAAACTTAAGTGGACCTTCTCACTTTATTTTTTGCTTGCCAGATGTTCTTCTCTTGAGTTGCCTCTTCATCCCACCCCACCCCGAAGCTCCTTTGCATCCTTTCTTTTTTTCCCCCGGGGGTAGGGTCCCATCAGTGCTGAGGCGTTTATTTCTAAGCATTCACATAGCGCTGGCAAAATGTTTGACCATCGCAGAGTCTTCACCCAATATACACACACGCTCACATATACAGTATATCCACAGATGGAAGCAAACACACACACACAGATACGTGTGCAAGGATATACTAATCTATTAACAAGCACATAACTCATGTACAAATGACACAAATACATATACACACAGATATACAAGGAAACCTTGTCAGAATGAATTTAGTTGGGTCCAGTGTCTCACCGACTGTGACTTTGCAGAGTTTTCATCTTGTGCGAAGCTCATAGGAAGTGATATAAATGGCTCTTAAGATGTCTATGTGAGATGAGTTTGGTCAGCCTCAAACCAGTTCCTAGTGAGCTCAGGCCACAATACAATGTACAATACAGCTCTAGTTTAATTTTGGGTTGGGTGTGGTAAAGCCACAGTCATGTCATCTGGCCTTCAGCCCCCACATGTGCACTTCTCACAGGGGGACCTGTGCGAGCAATCAACAGCAACAACAATAAATGACATTTGTACAGTGCCTTTCAAGTTGAGAGGACGCCCCAAAGTGCTGGGAAGGAATCAAGAGAAGGAATCCGGCTTATTTTTCCCTCCCTCCCAAACCCACTTCTGCCCCCCCAAAAAAATTCAAAGAGCATTGAAGCTAGTTGAAGTATCCCAACTGCTCACTGGGTAGGCTGAGCTAACTGAGCGCAAAGTGAGGATCAAACCGACAATCTTCCTCATCTATATGGTTCAGCTACTCGCTGTAGAACTCACTGAGCCATCGAGGCTGGAGTGCTGGTGGGTGCGGGAGGTGGAAGAACCATTTGCCGATTGACATTGTGAGATCTTTTGGCAGATTCACAGAGGAAAGATTAAGGAGGGTATTCCCCCCCCCCCCCCCCAAAAAAAAAAAATTTTTTAAATGTTGGTTTGGATCACATGACTCCAGCGAGGGAGGGCGAAGGAATTGTTAGCCAATTTTGCCATTGGTCTATTAACTCGCAATCTCATGAATTGAGCTAGTTCTTATTTTTAAAAGGCAGAGGATTTGAACGCCGTGCAATAAACGGCAGCATTTAATGTTAGATTTGCACAGTGGCCAGATAGCGTTATTTATATGGGAAATGTAAACTGCAATGTACTAACTGTGCTTTTCCCCCACACCCCCCTCCCCCTCCACTTGTATAACCTAGAGGATACTAAAAAGTGTTCTGCAAAATTAACATTATGCTGACTTTTGCCTATAAATGAGAAGATAGCTATTAACATTTGTGTATTTTCATTATGTAAATGGTGTTAACACATGCCCACAAATTGCCACCAGCTATGCAATCATTTTCTCTCCGTGATCATAATGTGTCCAAGTGAGCCATTTTGATTATGACATGCTAATTACATATTGCCTTTTCAGATTCAGAAAAACCAGGGATCTTTAATGGTAAGCTTTTATGAGTTTGGGGAGAGGGGAAGAGAGAGAAAAAAAAATTCACTTTTTTTTCCCTTCCTGCTGGCTGACTTCTGCACGCTTGAACGCTTTACTTTAAACTTAGCAAATTGCATTTTCTAACAACAAGCACTAAAGTGCCTGTAGTAGATTAGCTACCATTAGAAATAATAGAACATCGAGGGTGTCGATGTTTTTATAAGACTTTTGTGCTGTTGATTAATCTTGCAACATTTTGCTGCATTAATGATTTTCTCACTCTACTGTATCACACAGGATATGCGTTAATACCTTCCCTTTGCCATTACAGCCACTCCAGTTATTACAGTGCATCGTTGATGAGGTGAGTCACTCACTCCCTTATGTGCTTTCTATCCCAAAGTCATTCTTAATGGCCTGGAAAGTTTTATTTATATTATATATATATAATACTTTTCTATATTTTTATAATAATTTGGTCACTCAATCCACGGCTGTTTGTGGGCAATTGGCTGCCGTGTTTCACCCACAAAATACACAGTCAATTCACTTTACAGTGTATCCTGTGAAGCGCTTTGAGACATCGCAAAGGCATGATAAGGCGCTGTATCAAATCCAAGGATTATTATTATTATATTTGTTAATGGAGCTGGTTTTCCCGGTAGCAGATTCTTGGCTTAGTTAGTTTGCTACCGAGCACCGGCTTGAGGCTGACCTCATCCGCGAACGGCATTCAGGCAAGATACAGTGACTGGGTCGAGGTACAGCATGAATTGGTGAATAATTACCTTTACACTAACCTGAGCAAGCGCCTTCCCACGAGGCCCAGCTCATTTAATGGCTGCAAAAACTCAATCTACAGGATGTCAGTGGTCATGGTTGATTATTTGGCTTGGTATTTTACGAAAGCAATAAAAAGGCTTGGGAGCGAAGGGAAAAATAGAGAAGCGTTGACTAATTTCATGGGGAGGGGGGTTTGAATCGAGTCCCTTTGGTATGATGGTTATTGTGACCGTTTCATGCTGTCTTGCCTTAGTTATTTCAGCAATATGAGAGCACTGCTGTGCTCCCTCAGCTTATAATTGACAAGAGAGTGGAGATAGGCCCCAAACAGTGACAGAGCTGCTCTGTGCTCGAGCTGGCGTCTTGTATTAAGAAATAGCTCGCAATAATGAATTTCGCTGTTTGCTCCTGTAAGGTTGAACTTACTCACAAAGTTAAAAGATAAATGTGTTGTGTTTCTGTATCACACTCCTCTCACTCTCCCCGCCCCCACCCACCCTCTCCCCCCCCCCCCCCACCCTCCCTCTCCCCCCCCCCACCCTCCCTCTCCCTCCCATCACGAAGAATCCTTCTTTACCACCTTACGACCAGATTCTGAATTGTTTGATTATTTTTATCCAGATTTTTCACAAACAGCAACTCTACCTGCCCGAGGCTCTAGAATATTGATTACACTGTGTGAAAAAAAACACAAAAATTTGCACACAGCCTTTGCCAGATCATCAGGGAGATTTCAAACCCCCTCTCCCCCTCCCTCCCCCTCACCTATTTTCCGTTGCTCTCTTTAATAACACACATTCAGTCTTTACTGCCTTCTGTGGCTTTTTCTTTATGCCTGAGCACTTTGCTGACATGTGCTAATAACGAAATGTCCAGAGAGTGTCCAGTTGGTGTTACCACACACTAAACATACTGAACTTGTCCTTTAGCTCATAGATTGTGGGTAATTAATAATTAAACTCTTTCAGTTGTAATGGCTTGCCCTCCCTGAACTGTTCATTACTCAGATGGCAAAGGCATCACTCACGAGCATGTTTCTTTCTCTCCCCCCTTCTCTCTCTCTCTCCTTCTCGCACCCCCCCCCCTTTCATTCCATTGCCCTTCTTGGCACCCAGGCAGCACACTGTATGTGCAGTATTCACTTCCCACCCAAGGTTTAAGATGACCCAAGTATTTGGCAGAGAAGAGAAGGGAAACGGGTTGCACATTAAGGCTTTTGCGCACATTGTGCAGACGATGTGTGAATGCCGTTGCTTTTTACAAATAGAACATTAGAAATGTACCGCTTGGAGGACCACCATTTGGTCCAGCGCTCCTGTGCTGGCTCTGCGAGAGGGAGGTCCATTTTCCCGCCTGGTCCCCAAATCTGTTCTATATTTTACAACATTCCCTTTCTCGGTTCTTGTCCCACTACCGACTCCCTTTAGGAAATTCCTACCCCTAGTGCATCGCCACCTACGAGAGCAAACAGTCCACTATCGCACATCCTGATTGAACTTTAACCCATAGTTTAAAAGCTCTCTCTTTTACCCCCTCTCCTCTCTCCACCCTCCTCACTGCCCTTGCCTCTCTTCCTGTTTTAGTTTTGCTAACTCACTTCACGGTAACGGATATCATTTTTCTTCCTTTCCTCTCAAACACGCAGTGATGCCGGGTGAATAAACACGATCATCTGAGCTTTGCAGTGTGGAACTAATGGAGAAAAAAGATTGCACGTTTGTGTATATAAAAAATATTAAAAAAAGGTGGGATTGTAAATCCACCTGATATTCCATAGTGGGATATGCATTTGATACAGCGCCTTATCACGTCTTCGAGACATCTCAAAGCGCTTCACAGAATAAAGTGTAACGAGTAGTGACTGTATTTTGTGGGTGAAACATATTTATATATATGTGTGTGAAAAAAATCCATAACTAAAATCTGTGGGAACTGTAAAAGGTGCAGCTCTTAGAGAGATGATCTTAAATACATTTACAAGAACATTGGCTGTCCGGGTGGTGGGGGGGGGGCAGGGGGGCGAGTCAGGGGGGAGAGGAGGCTGCATGACCCCAGTCGTGCTTTAAGTGGACCTCTTGTCATAAATCCCAGGGCAGTCTAGTACCTTATATAACTGCATCTACACAGAGTTAAAGGCTGGGGACCATCTCTGCTGCCAGCGCATTTTATTCATTGGCAATCTCTACCTCGCTCGCTCACTCTCCCCTTTAATTTACTTTTGTCGTTTCAATTGTATTTTGCTAGCAGCCTCCTGTTGTATAAATAGGAGACGGAGCTCAGATGAGAGATCTACTTAATTTTCTCCCTTGTAATTACTGATCTCATTTTTCTGATAATTTGAAGTTGTAATTGGCTACAGCAATTACATGTATATTTACTAATCACATTTGAAGCTCTGATTGTATCTGTTTGCCACCATTGATAATGAAGCACACAAATTGCTTAGGTGCCTTTCATCTGATTTTTTTTCCCTTTCCCCTCCTGTATCACATCAAAGCTTCTTTCTTTTTCTTTCTCTCTCTCCCTCTCTCTCTCTCTCTCTGGCAGTGCCCCCCCACACCCCCCCACCGCCGCCACCCCCCCTCTTCCTTGTGTTTTTTTTCCATAATGAATACATCCGTGCGCCTGACACAGTTATATAGTAGAGAAATTGTTTGTCTGTTACCAAATGCTGCACACATCGAGTTTAGCCTCAAGCATTGAAAGGTTGTATATAATGATATATTGCTCATCCAAATAGCTGAAGCAGTCCAAAGCACTGAGAGATTAAAATAAGTCATCTCTTTGTTAATTTAAATAGGTGCATGTATCATACTTTGCCGGGTAGTTTTAACAGGGATGTCACGGAGAATGCAGCCAAAAGGTATTTTTAATGGAAAATGAGAATAGATGAAAATGCAGTCTCCCAGCCTCCTGTTCTATTCTACACTTTGCAGCACTTTGTACATTTGATGAGGGTGCCATTAAACTCCCACAATCTTCATTTTAAGGATTTTTTGTGCATAATTCGGCAGTTTTTGAGGGTTTTTTTTCTGTGTGGTGGGGACGAGTCGGGGGGAGGTGGGGGGTGGGGGGTGGGGAGTTGAAATTGCAAAAGGATTGCATGAGAGGATTTTGTTCTACTGTGGGCTCAATCAACCCGCCACCGCCTTTAAATTGGCTGCAGGAATAACTGTGCTTATAATTGTAATCATAATTTTTTTTATGGTTTTACTGGGATTTATGCAGTTAGTAAAAACCTCCTGCGCTCCGGCTAGCTGATTATTTTTATATGGGATTGTTCCCGCATGTCTTCTGAACGATAACTTTTTTTGTGCGCTAATGATTATCATCAGTTCTGGGAGAGGGTTTAAAATTTGAAACTTGCGATCAGAAGACTTGCAAACTTTCCTCCCGACAGACATGTTTTGTTACTTTCAGATTCACAATCATTCGTGTTTTTTTTAAATGTTGGAATGTAATTGTATTTACAATGTGTTTTTAAAGACAACTTGACCCCTGAGATTGAACATCCACAAGCCATTTCTAAGTCACATGCACTTAGTTAATGATACAGACAGAGTAGTTTTTCCCTGTATTTTTTTTACACACACACACACATGTTTCGCCCACAAAATAGACAGTCAATTCACTTTACAGTATATTCTGTGAAGTGCTTTGAGACGTCTCGAAGATGTGATAAGGCGCTGTATCAAAAGTAAGGATTATTATAATTATTGAAATGTAGCAAAGTAGCTTTTTTCAAATGAGTAATTATTTTCTCTTGATGTGAATGACCAAAGTGAAGAGATTTTAAGGTTAAAAATCAGCCGCATTTTGCTCTATCCATATCCATTGAGGGGTTGGGGGGGGTCAAAGAGTCTGGCACACAGTTGCTTCATTTATTGTGCGAGGAATCTTGTAGGAATTAGAATAATCATTGCTTTGTAATAATGGTTTATTTTTTCCTGTGTGTTTTTTTTACACACAGACGCACACACAGAGACGCGCACACGCAGACACTCTTTCTCGGTCTCTCGCCTTCTCCCCTCTCATCCTATTCTTTGTCTTGTGCCTTCCCAGGATCCACCAGTTCTTCCAGTTGGGAAATTCTCTGAACCATTTGTACACTTCATCACTCAATGGTAAGCTCACTTTGCAAACATGCCATTTCCCTCAGTGTAAATGATACATTCCATTAGCGTTCAGACTGCAGGAGACCTTATGGCTTCTCTCTACATCTTCCCATAGACAGGGAGGGACTCCAGAGCCTGTGGGCAGATGGGTAGCAGAGAGAGGTGGGGGGGGAGGGAGAAAAAATACTGTTGTTTAAATTCTGTGAATGTTATTTACACAGAAGGTCACACTTAGACGGGGGTAATCGGGGACGGAACTCCGAAATGATCAGATGTCACATAAAAGTTTTACAAAGGGGAAGGAGGGGTAACTGGTGTGAAATGTTCACAGATGTCAAGCTGAAACCTAAATGATGGTGCGTAATAGCTTTGTTTTCCCTGGAGAAGCAGCTAGTTTGGAATCACAGATTAGGAATGATACCAAACAAGTCTTTAGACAGCTTGAATTGCTTGCTAATGGGTGCCTTATTCCAGAGGTGCATATGTTTGTTTATGGAGACAGCAAATTGTCCTCAGTGCTAGTTAATGGTTTATAACTATGCCTCTTGTTTAGTACAAGACTCTTGTTAATTTTTCGAGTGTCATCCTATATTAGCACAAGATGTTATGGGAATGTATTGCCTCGAATGGCAACAACACAGCACTCGAAATAACACATGCTTTCCAACCGGGCTGGGCGACAAGAGTTTAGCAAATCAACATTTTTTTTATATACACTTAAAAGGTTAAAAAAAATCTCAAATTAATTTGTAATTTAGTAAAAAAAAATCAAAGTGTGTACATTTTTTTCTGGTTAAAATTGTACAGATCTTACTCTAACCAGAGACTTTTTTAAAAAAAATTAAATACAGTATTGAAAAACAAACCTAGTTACTCCTGCTTCTTTACACGTCCCTTCCTCCTCGTAAATTTCAAGTACATGATATAAATGTAATTAAAGCAGATGGTAGTAATAGTGATATCACAGCTGTCATCATTGCGAGTGTGTCTGTGTGTGTGTGTGTCTCCCAAACGCACAATCTTTTGTATGATGAATCGAACCAAAAGAAAAATTGGATGGGGTGGGGGGTGGGGGCAAGAAACAAGAACGATTTTTAAAAAAAAACTATTACGACCTGTGTTCCGAGCCGGTTTTGAAATGTTCGTTAAGCCTTTTTTGCGTGTTTTGATTTTAAGAGGTTCGAAAGCATTTCTCATGGGGAATTTGAGGATTGCAAATTAGGCATTACATTCTCTCTAACCCTCCCAGGGCTGCTGTAGGATCTTGTACGGTGTCCAAAAAGTGATGCAGTACAGCATTAAAATTGCTCCTTTACTCGGGAGTGCACTCCGAGCAGAGACGGGCTTTGTGGGTTTATGCTTTTATTCCCTTTCTATTCTGTTCTCTTTTTCCACAGTTATGTTTTTGTGGACTGTCCCGGAGTTTTTATTAAGTTTCATCTCTATAGCACCCCTTGTGGCTCAGTCGTTAAATGCATCAGTAATGGGCCAATGGATTTGGGTTGAATACCTGGGCTGTGCCAAGTTAGCTGGTCTCAGTGGTCAGGGCCTTATAATAGGCCATGGTAACCAATGGATTAAACAAACACAAGAGGCGTAACCTACAGAGACCAGTAGAATTTAGACAAAAGTCAATGTTGTTCCCTTCAATGTAAGGTATTATCTCAGGGAAATGAAACACCTTTTAGCATTCAATACTGACCGCTCCTGGGTTAGGAACAGCCCCCTGGGACGTCCTCCTGACGTGAAAGGCGCTATATAAATGCAATTTGTTGTTGTTCTTGTTAGGAACAGTTATGAGTCAAATACCGTGGCCACAGCGATTAGCTGGTGTGGGAAATTTACGCTGTTTACAGGATCCTATAAGGTTGGGGTTGAACAGACGGGAGTTACTCTCACACGCTCCCTGTGATGTACCTGACCTGGGGTTACTTATTGGTGACCCAAATGACCAAAGTGCATAAAAACGTGCAACAGAATGTCCAAGATGTCGTTGTAAACAGATTCATCCTCACAGTCCCAAACTGTGAGTTATCCTTAATTTATTGCAGTGTATTGTGTTTGCTTCCCACAGCATGAGAAAGCTACCCAATGAAAGACCTGCTCCTGAAGAACTCATGGTAAGTTCTGCTGTTTTTATTTCCAAGGGTTTTTTTATTAATGGATTTACAGATTACATCCTCCTACCGTACGGGATTGAGATAGCAAACCCAGAGCGATGGTTTCACACACAGCAAGGAAACAGGACAGGTTCGGGATTGTGAAGGAATGATCTGAGGACAGACACCAGGAAGTAGTTTGTTTTCTAGGGAGTAATTAATCGCTGGAGCAGGTACCAGGAAAGGTGGTTAAGCCTAAAACGTAGAGATTCATTTACAAAACAGCTTGATGCTACAATGGAGTCCTGTAGCGTATTGGTTAGAGCACTCGCCTCGCAAGCGAATGCACCCTGGTTCGAGTCCTGAGCAGAGAGAAAAAATAGACAAGTTTCCTTATTCCACACGCTTCTATTTACCTCGCAGTAAGTAAAAACCCGGTTGTTAGACGATTAGCAGATGGCTTTCTGGGGGTTAAAGTCTCTTCAAAAATAATAATAATAATATGGTCACACAATCCACGACTGCTGTGCGCAATTGGCTGCTGTGTTACCCCCACAATCAATATAGAGTCAATTCATTTTATTTTGTGAAGCGCTTTGAGATGTCTCAATGACGTGATAAGGCGCTCGATCAAATGCCAGGATTATTATTATTATTCATGCGATGAAGAAGTGTGGTACAAACAGGAATTCAGGAATTTGTCACCTTAACAGGAGAAGCGTTTTGGAATAGAAGGTGATTCGGAGGAAGATTTTTTTTCACTACGTTTGTTAGGAGATGGGGCCTGGGTCTATTCCAAGGAGGCAGGGTGCCCATGGGCTTTCCATGAGCTGCTGTCAGCTTTGAGGCTCTCGTCACTGATTGTAAATGACAGGCAGTGAGGGGGAAGGAATGAGGCATGGGAATAATTCCCAATAGGTCATTTATTCAGTGCTGTTTGTTGATTTGACAATGAACAAGCTGTTAATATCTCCGGCATCCAGCAGAAGTAGTAAATAATAATTATTCCACGCTCCTCTTCACTTAGCTCCTGTTGTTACTTCCCTATTGAGGCTCCTCCAAAGCTGCTGTTTCATTTACTTCATTTTTTTTTCCCCGCCCCTAAAGTTGACATCTTTTCGGGTCATATAGTTGGCGAGGGTCAAATCTAGGTGCCTCTGACTGTTTTAGGTGGGTAGCCTTGCATTTGCATTTGTCAATTACATTTCTCCAGTAAAGAGCTGTTCAGGAAAGAGAAACACTGGCTGATTCCCTGCCCGGCCAGGCTGCCGGGTGAAACTCAGCCTCGTTTTGTGAATCACTTTATTATCATAAAAATGTGACATTGAGGGAACCTCACAGACCGACCAGACATTGAAACAATCGCCGCCTTCACTTGTCTAATCCTCCCTTATGCCGTTGTGAGCGGGAGATCCACTTGGGGGCCACAGAAAACCCAGATTGTTCCACTGAATTGTCATAAAACAACTCTTGAAAGAAGTGCAGCACAGTCCCCGGTGCAGTCCCTGGTCTGTGCTGAGATTGTCATTCTCAGCCTTAGGGGCACTTCCCCTGCCCTCGGCCAGGCAGGAGAGGGTGCAGTACCTGCTCCTGTTTGCTATCCAATCCACCTGCTGGAATGGAATGTGTGGCTGGGTGTTGGATAAGAGCAGGAGCTGAGGGCAGATTGGTCGGAGCAGAGTTCCTGTGGGTCAGCGTGACACAGTTACAGTTTCCCTGTGAAGCGGTCCCATTGGAAATCGCTCCTCATTGTGTTTCAGGCACTTGTGACCAACGTAACCCAATTGGGACTTTGAGCTTGAGTGTTAGAGCACGGCGTGGGGTAAGAATCCTAACAAGGAGTCTCGTGGCTCCTTTATTCAATAACACTGCTCAAGGTTCCTGAAATGAGTCTGAACCTGGTTAAACTTTCGCTCTTCCCTTCATTTAACCACAATCGAATTACATTGGTATTTATAAGGACCGTTCCGTTTGGGTGCGAGAGGAGATAGAGCGCCTGAAACAAGTTAAATTATCTTTTGATCAGAGAGGTGCCACTCGTATAAATATTCAGCCTGATGCTGAAAGCACTCCGAGGTGCTTTAATTGTATTTTCCAGCCGCTCTCGAAGGCTGGGCTGCCATTTAATGGAATCTATGCATAGAGCAGAATTAGGTCACAAAGTACATCTTGTGTTTGGATCAATGTGTCGGTTAATACTTCAGCAGAGCCACTTGATTATCTCAGGCCCATTCAATTCCCATTCTGTTTGGTACCATTTGTGCTGCTGCGGAATACTCATTGCCATCATATTAACAGCACATACCCGCTCTATCTGTATGTAAATGTCAGCACCCAGCACTGCAAATGTAATTTACTAATAATACATATTAATATGCTTGTTCTAAATAAATAGACAAAGTAATGAAAATTAAGTTAATATCGACGCGCTCTTTTTAATAACGAGCCGTGAATTTATCATGTTTTTGCCCTTTGGAGCGTCGATGTGTTATTAAGCTCCTGAGAAAGAGAGAGAGAGCGAGGCTATGAAATGATCCGTGTAACTTAGCGTCCTGTCAGGGCGGCCCAGGTTCGATGTTAAAGATCTTTCTCCACTGTTTGGGAGCAGTATAAGGAGTCTTCCCGGTGTCTCGGTCGATATTCCCGCACCCCTCCTTGACCAAATTCACCAAAAAAAACACCACCGATTAATGGGTCTTCGATCTCCCTGCCGGATGCTGAATGCTGCCGTTTTACATTAACTCCCACCTTTAACTACTAAGCAGTGACTGACTGCAGAGTAATACATTGTACGCAGTGCTGTGTGACATTTCAAGGTGATCGTGTGTTTGTACCAAACAGCGGCTCAGTTGTGCAGTGACACTATAGCGGCAAATCGTTTATGGGAAATAAAACTTTAAATTTAAATCCTGGGAATCCTGCAAAATTTTATAAAGCAGAAAAGTGCTAGCGATGCTTAACCACGGCAGAGTAGACAGAGCAGCGTTCCTGATGGTCTGATATGCACCTGGTTGCTCAAAGGACCCCGTACCTCTTTGGGACTCGGAGACGATAATAATATTAATAATAATCCTTGCATCAATGCCTCGATAAGACCAAATATCAAATGCAAGGATTATTATTATTCTCTCCCCACCCCATAAACCAAATAAAAAAAACTGTTGCGAATTCGGAGCTTTGGATGTGAATGGAGTGTAAAATATAAGTAATCTGGCAATGATAGCCTTAGGGGGAGTGAGAGCTAAACAAGTACATGGGTGGGTGGGGGGGAGGCGAAAGGGTGGGGGAGCTAAACAATTTCTTCCCCAAACAGATGCTTGAATCATTTTAGTAATTGATCGGCGAGGAAGCGAGGGATCGATTCTTATCTGGGTTTTTTTTTGCTAACCAGAGCCCTGTGGTAACGGGGAAAGTTAAATATCTCATCGAGAAACTGCTCTTGGTGATTTTCCCACTCAACACAGTAGGTGAAGTGTCTTAAAGCAGCGGCCAGGCCGGTGTTTGTACAGTCTTCACACGGAGGAGCTAATTGTCCGTGCAGCGCTCCCGTGTTCAAATGAGTTTGACAAGAATTTCAATTCATTTCAATCAACTTATACCCAGGCAGATTGCAGTGCAGCAGTCGCTAACATTAATTTCTCCTCTGCAAGGCAGACTTCATAAATGTGCTAATGCGCTCGCGGGCCGGGCTGCAGCTCAGCTTTCAAAGTGCTGGTGCACCGAATCTTAAGCACATAATCAATAAAAAAGGATTAGCCCAACTGTGAAATCTGTCTTTCATTCACATACATGCCTGTGTCAATGAACTGCTAGTACACGCGTTTCTCTCCCAGTATTGAAGAGGGGATTAATTAACAAGCTACTTAATTTGTGATGTACTTGAACCAATAAACCTGTTTAGCACATTTTTTTATTTAACAAAAAAATGATCCGAGAGTCTATAGGAGTTTAGTGTTTACTGTGTGAGTGTTGACTGAAGGCAGACCAGATGAGAGGAAGGCTGATTTCATAGCAGCCACCCTGTTTTCATTCCCTTCGACCCTTAACCACCATTGGGATAAAATAATTTACATGCAAATGCGAGCTGGCTTCTCCTTAACAATGACCTATTCTTGAAGTGTCGCCTGCAATTTTGGGAGAACGCATTTGTCTCCGGCAAAAGTAACCTGAAATTTGTCTGTTATGCAGAGTACCGCTCTATCCTTCCTCTCTCCCCCCTAATGAGGTCTTGACCAAAAGCACTATGTAATTGCTTTACTCTTTTTAATTTTCAAGCTTATTAATCATAAGTAGAGTTATTTAAAATTGCATATATTAATTTTAGAGTAGAAAACTATTACTAGCCACGACCAATTAAGAATAGCTACGATATCCCCTAGCCAGCTAATTCCATTGTTATACTTGAGAATATCTTGGTATTGAAGTACTTTAATGCTTATTGTATGCAATGGGGTATACTAAATGAAATGAGAACATTGATTTAAATATTAAATTAAACTGGATAATGACCTAAAACTAAGCTTAATAGTGTTATTTATCACTTTTATTTAAGCTTTTAGTTGTAAGTGTTGGTCTAAAGAGACTGCTGACTGGGGGCAGGGGGTGGGAGGGCGGGGTGGAGTTTGTGTGGGGGGTGGTGCTTCCATTTTTTTATATAACTCAGAGATTTGTCATTTGGAAGGTGAAGGGCAACTTTTTACTGAGGGTTTTTGTCAGCGAGAAAGTTGAACACAACGCCTGAAACTTTTCTGAAGTCCCCGGAAACTACAGTAAAATGCTTCGCGAGTTGTTGGGAAATGATTGAAAGGCCCTTTAATGCGAGTGACTGTCTGCATTAAATACACAGTCACTCCGGTTTACAGTGTATCCTGTGAAGCGCTTTGAGACGTCTCAACAACGTGATAAGGCGCTGCATCAAATACAAGGATTATTATTATTATTAAGAGGTAAGCATGGGAAAATCTGAGCGATGGTCTTGCCCTCTGGGACCTGTGTGACCTCTGGCTTTACTATCTCCTGTT